AGTGTTTCCTCAGGTGGTTGTAGTTGGCCAAATCGCCAAATTTGTTATACGAACTACACCGTGCTTTTTGCATTTGGTAACCGCATCGTGTAACTTCTCCGTCCTCAATCATTTACGCTCCGCTTTTACTCTTTCCGAATATCTCTTTGTGGCTTTGATACCTTATTAAAACCATTATTTGAAAACTTTTCGCGGTCGACCAAACAAGTAGCCTATGTTGCCGTGCGTCTGTTCATTCATAGATAACATATGACGACAAAATGTGGTAACATCAAAAATGTGGTGCACTGGACTCAGCCGATTAAGTCTCCGATGTTCTTAGCCCATTTCGATTTTTTATGTGAGTGTTTTATGACAAAAAGCGAAATATTGTTAGTGGTGAAAAAATCTATAAGTCTTCCCTCCACTAAATAATAATTGAGAATCAGTCAAAGTAGGATTAAGCATATTACATAAAGAAAAATTACAGTCATTAAATTGACTCAAAATGTGGTTGTCTGTAAACTTCAAACTGGAGGCTAAATTACTTTTTACGCGTTTCTTATAATGGCAAAAAGGTCGAACCGAATTGCTTCAAAGTTACAACAATGCTTTTCTTTGGCTTTTCTGTTTTGCTCTTGGTTTTTGAATGCTAGGTATTGCGTTCTGAAATTTGTTTTAGTCTGTGGAGAAGTGAATGGTGCGTACCTTCTTCGATGACTCTCATCTCTATTCCCTGATCTTGAACTGACGGAAAAATACAAGCAAGCGGACAAAACATCAGCAATAACAAATTATTCATTCATGAGGCAACGTCTTTTTATCATTTGAGGTTGAGTCAACCTATGTGTTTAAATGAAATACTCAAGCTCACGCGCCACTAAATACATAGATCTGTTTGTTTCTTATTCATATGGGTAACCAAAAAGTATCTCTTGGCTTACGAGCCGATCTGATTGATTAACCCACGGTATATCTGCTCTTAAACCTGTTTAAAACGTAACTTTATGGCATGAAACCAAAAAATTAAAGAACGAGAAAAATACTCCCCAGAATGATGAAAGATTATTTAAAGTGTCAAAAATTACCTTCAACATCTTGATTTCGGCCGAGTTTTGCCACCAGATAATCCCACAATGGTTGGAGTTTGGCTCTGATGACTCCTCGGACCTTAATACATCGAAACAAAACACGAGGTTATAATCAGTAAATAGTGCTTCCTCACCAGTTTTTAAACCCTTCGAGTCTTTGATTTCCCCAGGAATGCAAACTACGTTTGCGCAGCTTTCCAACCACTCTCAAACCGAGTGCGATACAATGAAAACGTGCACGTTTTACATACAGAAGAGAGTTCTGAGGCAAAGGGATCTCAGAAATGGCGGAAATCAAGTTTACCAGCTGATATAAAATACGGTAAAATTATACACAGTGAGACACTTCTTGGCGGTTCGTGTTTCACTTATTTATTCTTGTCGAATTTAGATGTGATCTGTGATCTGAGAGACATGATATAAATGCAAAATTTAACTTATTGGCTGAATATATACTTTCCAACCGCTCAAGTTATGAGTACATGTACCTGTGGGGTAGACAAGGTGTAAAGAATGGGATTGATGGCAGAGTTAACCGGCAGAACAAAGACTGCGATCCAAACTGCGAGGTCACCAGGTGTACGGAAGGATTTTTCCAAGAGAGACCTCATTCCAATCGCCACAATAGGCAGCCAGCAGACACAGTCGGTAAGAACAATGAAGAACACTCTTTTGGCGAGCGAGGCCTCCCTCCTTAGATCGGCTGCCCTTGCCTTGGCTTTCATTCTCCTCTCTCTTTCGGTCCCTTGCTTAGCCATGCGCCTGTTTGATGCGCAGGACTTATAGATTATCATCGCATATGCCACAACGACAAAGAGCACAAGGGTAAAGTTTAAACCCACAAACATGGCAACAGAGTACTCCCAGCCCGACGGCTTATCTGTGGAAAGCTGCAATGGCAGACATACAACTGATCTGCCATAAAAGTGATGACCTTTCTGGCGACTACCGAAGTAGTCGAAGCCCACCGTGGGAATAAATGCAATTATGCCACCAACAATCCAGATAAGGAAGCACAAAAGATGCGTAACCTTAAGTGTAAGGGACTTTCCCCGATAGGGGAACAGAACATTCTTCATCCGGTCGGCGGAGAGCAAACAAATCGTCATTACAGACACCTCACTTGACAACACGGCAATGGCACCTGTTACCTGACATGTCAAACTTGAACGCCAGTAATAGTCATGCAAATAATACTCCCCTGCCCAAATGGCATCCACCACACCTATAGTTAGGAGGTAGACACCCATAAGTCCATCGGACCCAGCCAAATGTATCAACATGATGGACTGTATCTTGTTTTTCTTCTTCGTCTCCCTAAACACCAACCGCCACACAATGACAAACACAGCACCAACCAACGACATAATTCCAATCACCCAGAGGCACTCCCTGGGAGCTCGATTTCTGAACAAAGTTTCACAACTGGCGAAGCTGTCGACATAAGCAAAGTCGCAATCTGCATCCTCCTTCGTCAAATGGCAACACATCAGGTTGGTGTCTACAGTCCTACGGTTCATAAAAAGAGTTCAGATGAACAACAAAAGGGAAAAAAAAAGACAAATTTGATCCCTCACAGGATCTAAATTTGTAAGAAAATGAAAGTGTAATAATAATAAAGTAAGCGCAGTATAACTGAGCACCGGCAAATGAAATTTTTCAATTTTAAACTCCTCGCGTGGAGAACATTCCACTTGACTTACGCAGTTATTAGATTCTTCATGTTTGTGAAGAAACCCTCCGGCAGTTCTCGCATTTCGTTGTAATGGAGGTACCTGCAAATTAAAGGAAAGCAATTCAGGCAAACTTTGCTCGCTAATTCTTGATAACATCGACATCTTTAGCCTATTAATCACAACCATTACAAATTCCTGAAATGTTATTGGTGCATCCGCAGCTTCATTTTTCACTAATCATTCTGTAAAGTTATAATAGGACAGTTTAATCGGACAGTTGGCTGCAATCGGAAACCTGTAATCGGACAGTTGAAGCAACCAATCGTACTAAGTCCACTCAGCTAATCCACCCATCACAGAAATGATCAAAATAATCACAGCAACAACCACTTATCCAAGGGAAAAATGGGGGATTTCCAAAATGGAGGAATTTTTAACTAAAGACATTGTCTCCACTGGAGATATTTGTTTTAAGTGCTTTTTTTTTTCGGAAATTCAAATGGCTATGATTAATTGGTAACAGGACTTCTTGTCGTCCAATTCTGTCCTTAATCATACTCGTGATTAACAAATCGGACTCTCGCCTCGCGGTCGTCCGATTTTGCTGATCACTTGTATGATTACAGACCGAATTGGACTCCACTCAGTCCTATTACCGTTATGTATTAATCAGTTTTTCGGCTCTCTCTTGTTCCTTTTCCTTCCCAATTCTCAACAACTATTCGATAGAAAACTAAAACAGAAGACGAGCAATTTGTCATTGAGTGTGTACGATATACTTACACAGGCTATGCCAAAGTGACTTTATTTGTTATACTGATATGCTTTTAATACTGCAATGAGTATCTGATGCACTCATTTCGAATTTAGGATGGGTCGCTCATTACAGAGAGGGTACTTTATGCGGAGGGACCCTTCCTTAAGTTTTTCCCAGACTTTTTCTTGTGACCAGATATGATCGTCCCAAGGAGTATAACATTTGGGCGTAAATAAAAGTATAAACTGTGTATTAGTGAACAAAGCCGATCCTAACTTCTAGTATATCAGTGGTAGTATGTATGTGAAAATCGTTTACTCCAATTTCCCTGCCTAAGCAATTCGGCCAGTGGTATGATCACTTGTCCATCCTTTAAAATGGGGGAGGGGCGCTTATCCGTGAGTTTACGGCACGTGAAGGTCGCACCAACAATATCTGTTTCCCTTGAACTCGAAGTAGTTTGAACACACCTGGAATATTACCAGTTTACTCATACTCACAGGAATCGAATACTTGGGGCGACATCTTTGAATTGTTCGTTGCTAACGGTACGGATATTGTTGAAATAAAAGCTCCTACAGAACGATGAAACAATGAAAAGCGTAGAGCGTCAACTGACAAGCATTAAAGCGTAAATTAAAACAACACTGGACAGAAAATTAGCCAAGAATGGAAGGCAATATCTTCCATTTGTTCAAAATGTTCTGCAACGAGAAAAGAACCTCACCGTGCATTAGACAGTGGGTCATACAATAATGTCACATAAGTATTTTTACGAATTTTCACATTACTAAGAGCTTCTTCAAAGTCACAGTTAAGTTATCAAGAATGAAAAAAACATTCTCTATTTAGGTTCCAGATCTATTTCTATCCGCGTGGCCGATGCCGATTTAAATAACCCCATGAGTATTGTCATACCTATCCTCAAGAGGTTTTCGCGGTCGAAGTCTTTGTAAACTCAGTGTTTGAATCTGGAAGGGGATACCTTAGCAGGATTTTGTTTTTGGTAGTTAAAGAGACCTGGTGTTCCCCAAGGTTTTGTCTGATTTGCCTTTTGGTAGTTCTCTCTACCTCTAGTAAATATGATCTCTTAGTCAGCCTGTTTTCACTTTCACTATCGTAAATATTTCGTCGTCCATCACACATGGTTTTGATCATAAGGTATGATCTGTCCTCGGGGGTAGAAGATTGTCCATGTTTTTGGTGTGCAGCTTTGTGGGTCTCTTGATCTTCCCGAGCAGAGTTTGTCTTAGATAACGGAGATTCCTAACATTGCTATGATTGCATCTTCACGAGACCCTTACTAATTTTACAATACCTCGTTACCGTTAATAAGAGGATAGTTTAGAGACAGATACTTACATAGACATCATGTTTTTCATGCCTTTAAAAACTTCATGTGGCAGGTAGTCAATATTGTTTTCGTAAACAGCCCTAGAACAACATAGAGGGCACATCATTATTATCAGAAATGTAGAAAAATTTAGAGGTAAGCACGTATTTACATAAACTTCCTTCTTATCTTCATTGATTCTTAAATGCCCTCTGCCTACGATATCTTCAAAGCTATCCGATATTGAAAACATAATAAAAAGGTGAAAAAAAAAAAACTCACAGCCAGGGATGCGTAAAAGTTACACTGATATGCAGTTTGCGGTTACCTCGCTGAAAATGTTAAAACTTAGCGCATGCTTATATTTGGACTTCTATAAAAAGTATTGTTTCACTGATCTGTTGATTTTTTTCGGGGGTGAGGGAGAGAATTGCTACATCTCTAATTCTCTTCTTTTTCTGTCTTTTTCTGAAGAAATCCGAGGTGGAAGTTACTATCTTGGATGGATGACAAAGAATCTTTTTCAGAATTCTGCTTGGGTTTCTGAGGTTCATCCAATCAAAGTACACTAGCTTCAAAATTTAGCGAAACTTTGGGCAAAAGTGGTGGGAGGAGGAAAGAAAGGTCTATTCGCCCTACTGAGTTGGTTAAGTACATATTTAGTTCGAGAATAGTTACATGTGCAGTCAGATATGATTTCCATCGAATATTTACTTACAGTTCTTCCAGTTTGGACAGGCCTTGGAACTGATCAGGTGACAGGTGTACGAGGCTGTTGTTATACAGGTATCTACACAATAAAATGCAACAGACGCTCGGTATAATTACAGAGTCTTTGATGGGGGAGGTATTATTGACCTTAATGATATTTGGCAGCACAGAAGTGACTGCGAAACTTATTGATTCTTAAGTAACCTTGACTCAGCATAATCTTTTGAGGACCTCGAGACTAGTTTAGTCCCAAACCCTGTCTTATATTATAGAAACTGTTTCATCTTTAATTAAAGTCAGTCGAATTAAACATGCTTATTATGGAAACCTCCTTCGAAAGCGTATTAGCGCCTTGGTATTCGGCAAACTGTTCTACTGCTTATCAGTGTGCTCCAACACTTCCTGAAAAAACATCTCATAAATGTATTTGGACCAAGACGTTGCCACGTGCATTGTGACAAGAACAATTAAGTTCCATCGCGTTTATCGTGTTACGCCTTCACCGAAAGGACTATGCTGGCCACCAGGTAAACAATGGTTAAACCTTGGTAACGCTGTTGTAAAAATTAAATGAATGATCGGACGTGCGCCCATTTACTTTTGCAATCGAGTTAAAGCTCGTATTTCTAATCGCATCACCCGGAATTCTATACTTTTAGCTTGAACAACCCTTTTCTGGAACATCTGGAAAAGCTGCTAGAAAAAAGTTAGGTAAAAACTGAAATTTATAGATCCTGTGTTTTCATTTAAAACCCAAATAAACTCAATATTGACGACAACGTTTTGATAACCGCTAAACAATTTCATACATTTTTTAAGAAAAATAAAAATTGATCATTGAAGTTTGATTTGGGTTAATCATCAATCATCAGCGATCGTTTCTAGCGTATGGTCCTTGTAAAGCCCGAAGGGGAGGGTGCTATTAAAGTAATGTACAGGATGTGTTGTATTGTATTTTGTTTTATCACCTTAAATATTTGACCCTTGAGTAGTTCTTAGTTGATGGTATCTCTTTCCAAAGTGAATGTATAATTTAACTTTTTACGCAATCATTTAACATCCTTAAATAAGTCATAAGAAGATGCCAGAGAAATAGTCCGTATCCAAGCTGATCCTTTGGTTTTGGCCAACGCTACCTTTAATTAATGCTCATTATACAAGACACGTACTGAGCCAGTTATATCACAAACGTGAATCACTTACAATATTTTCAACTCGGAGAGATTTTTGAACCTTGGCAAGCGCTGAAGTTTGTTACTGGAGAGTAAGCTGTGAGTGATATATAAAATGAAAAAAAAGTCGGTTGAAATAGAATTTGAGATTCTTGGAAAGGTTCTTGTTCTCTCCGAATAGGCATGAAATAAAACCCAATTGTTTCTTCATGGGAAAGCTATTTTGAAGACTTACAAAGTTCTACCCATTTTTGCTGAGTACATAAACTGATTACTCTTGATCCTGAGAATTTAGGCAAAAGATACCATTTGCGCGTTCATTGTTAAAATGGGCGTTTTCATAGCATGACATCACTTTTCAGTACTGATGCACCAAACTATAATAAGTCACTTACATCTCAAATCAATCTTAACAGAGTTCCCTGGTTACTTAGCGAAAAAATTATAGTCACAAGTCACGTGAAGCAAAAGGCTGTGTGAGACAATTGAATTTAATATTGACCTCTTTTTTTTTTAATTGTTCTCGATGACCAACTCCACCAAAGTTAGCATTATATAAAGGCAGTACGCATCTTGAAATAATAAAAAAATCTAAATCCGCAAAACTCTATTTTTAGAATGGTCATAATGCATATGTTTACTTCAAGCGCTATGAAAAACTATACATCATAATTCCCTTTGCTATGGAGTTTGTACTGAATGCCACTTACAGCTTTTTCATCTGAGTTAGGTTGCCAAAAACATCCATGGGCAGACGCTGAATTTCGTTGTTTGATAAATCCCTTAGAGTATTTATTGAGATAACAGTAAGCTAAATAACAGTTCAAGAACTTAAATCCTATTTTAATAATTGGCTGATAGCCCGCTACTTAAGTCTTCTGGTATGAGCTAAACAAGAGCCAAACGAGCCAACCAGTTTTATATCGCAACGTGTTTTTAGATATAAATTTTGCGAATGGCAAGGAATCACCAATATGTATGCAGCAGATTCAATCAGTGAAAAATAGCTACATGCAGTAAACTGAGAGATCTTTCTTTTGAGACAATAATTAATAGTAGGCCCGCCCCACCGAACGCATTCTGAGTTCTAACCCTAAATAAAACCCACTTAGTGAATCAATTCATCCGCCGATAACGGATCACGTCGAAGCAGAAATAAGCAAACTCTTCAAGTAGTTAAAGACCACCATCATTAATTATCTATATTGGACCTGTAACTTTGCTTTTCTTTTTTTTTTTTTTTTTACAATCAGTTTTACTTACAGTTCTGTCAGCTTGATATTATTGTTAAGTATCCCTCGGGGCAAAAACTGCAACTGATTGTAGGACAAGTCCCTAGCAATGAAATAATCGGGGAGCGAAGTGAATAGAACTTGTCAAAAGTGCAGTTAACAAACACTTTTAACTAATGGGTCAAATGTCTTTAACTAAATAAGTTTTCGAGTGCCATAAATAGATGTTATGCCCACTATTATGGGCATCGACTTTATTTGAACCGTATAATTTTGATACGTGTCGACTTTGACCTTTCCGTCGAAGATTACTGTATTTCTTATCCAACAAAATTTATTCAACAACACCTAACTAAAAATTTTCAATCATTATACCAAAAAACAGTTGTATGCAGGCTAGTTTATCGACAAACTTAAATGTGAATGCAAGCTGTTTGATTCACCATGTGACAAGGCACCCATATTCGATGAATCAATTTAAAAAAATTTGTTAATAAGCTGAATTATATATACATTTTTATTGGTCCTAACTGATGATATTTTGGTCGAGGCACCCCCTAGATAACATCACCGTTAACAACTTTCTGTTTCTTCATTATCATACAAATAGATTCTTTGTCTGATTGTGCGTTCATTTAAAGATAACAGAAAACGTGTTTGATGTTTGATGTTTAAGACAACGTTTAAAATTAGAGAATCACGAATTTTTGTTAAAAATTTGAGAAGATTAACTCTCTCTGCCCCCTCCCCAACCCCCCCCCCCCTACATCAGCAAGCTCGTCATTCAACTGGCTGTGTATTCCCTGATAGGCCTGTCCCGATTGCGCTCGGCAACTTTTGAGCACCTTTTGAGGTTAGGAGCAAGTTTTTGTGGTTCTAACAACCTTGAGCAATTCGTGCCTTTTCTGAGCAATTTTTCTGAACAAGGTAGGTTTAGAGCACATATAAAGCACGAAAAAGCCAACGATTTCATTGAAAACTTTAAGAGTTTTATGGTTTAGACTCTGAGAATGCAATCAGTAGAGCTAGTTTCATTCAATCTCCTTCATATCGTTCGGCAAAGCGTCTAATGAACCATGTGTTTCGTTCCTTTAAACTCAAGAGTATATATAAATTTGGCCCATATTTGCAAGCAACTCTTTAAAGCTAAGTTTCAAGCTATTTTTCTTGACCTATGTTAGCATTTATTGAGAGGAATCAAAAATAAAGCTTTTAATTTATATTTATAGAAAAGTATCAAGAAATTTAGGTGGCAACTTTCAAAATTCAGGTGGCAACCTTTTTGGACTTTTAGCCATTTTTTCAGAATTTTTCTAGCGGTTCGGTGAGAACCTTTCCAACATAATACGGGCACAATCGGGACAGGTCCACTCCCTGATAATTGACAGAATCAACTTTAATCGCTGAAAACTGACCAATCATTATCATTAGATGTTCAGTGATATTAATCTTTTACTTCAAATTTGCGAAGATTAATAGATTTATTCTTAATAATTCAGTGCTGTGTTTTAAACTAGTTGATAACAGTGGATCTCATACAAACGCAATGTACAGAATAGTGATATCTCTAAAACTTTTGGAAAAAATTGTTACTTACAATTCTTCCAAGGCAGACAAATCAAGAAATATTTCACGTGATAGCTCTTTCAACTGATTGCCGCCCAACCGCCTGCATTGGGAGAACAACAATATAGTTTTAAATTGAGCAAAATGTATTGAATTACGGTTTGCATGGGTAATCACATGATTTATCATTGAAGCTTATTTAAATAAGCGTTTAAATAAGCACGAACACATTTTTCAGACGAACAAAAGCCTCTTGGATTAGTGCAATTTTTAGTCTGAAAAATTAACAAGTAATATAATATAAAAGAAAAAAGGAAGAAAGAAGATCAAAATAAGGGAAATTTTGACACCGCACGCTGCTATTTTATTTGAGATGCATCCAAATGATTGGCCGAAACAGATTACAGCGTTTGTTAAATTCAAACTTTATCAAGACTTTCATTCAAAAGTTATTCAGCTGTAAGCTTGGAAACGTGTGCAGATTGATTTTAAACCATTCAAAAACGTTCTGAAGAAAATTCATTGTGCAGTGATCAGCAAAAGTGCCCGATTTGTACTGGTCTATCAGATTCAAACTCGACTATTAAAGCTTAGCATCTGTTAGAACTCTACCGTCGCTTTCAAATCCTAGGTGCGCGCTTTGAGCGGCCAAGCATGAGAGAAACTTGTCAGTTTTTAAGTGTCTTCATTATGGTCTGTTCTTCTTGATACCTCATTATAGATGTGACTGCATTCGCAGAGACTTCAAACTCGAATGTGAAAGTAGAAATTGGTTTTCCTTCGATGCTGCTCATGATGGGCCGACTCCTGAATAGTGATTCGTGACCTTTTCCATCCTTTCTTTAAGGCTACTACCCACCCCAATTGTTTTCATCACGTTGCATCATTTTTGTATTTACGCTCAACGGTTAGCTTTTAAAGCAGACATTGTCATTCAAATTTCGGTTCCGTTAGACACTGAGGTAGAAAGTACCCAACCGTTGCATATTTAGAGGTCTTCGCTAGACAAACCGCTTGAAGAGAGCTACCGGAAACCTTTTTCTATCAGGCTGGAAATCTATGTTCTTACTCTAAGGCTCGCCCTGTCTCGTCTTTTTTGGACCTTCTGTAAACGGCACGAACTCCACGCCCTCGTCAGTTTTTCATAGTTGAATCATCTTATTTCATTCCATGATGCTCTTGACGGCCACGGGAACCAAAAGATAGCATTTAAAGCCACCACATAGAAGAAATAAGAGCGTGTGGAGTTTTAGAACCAAAAGTTTCTGCCTTCCATAGCACCTCCTCTTCCTCTTCAGTAAAACTTGGCACTTTATACGAATGTCTGCTTCTGTTATGGACCACTCGTATTCTGACTTGTACATCTAATTACCTGTCGAGTGTAGCTATCATCCCTTTTAGGCTATTTAACTCGTATTTTCAATCATTTTTGGTTTTAGAAACTTTCAAGTAATTTGTTTCGTTCGCTGACTCTTTTTTCCACGTTTCCTTTGTTATTTCTTTTCGCGGCTTCAAACCACGTTTCCACACATTCAGCCAAGAAGAAGCTCTCTTAACTGTGACTAGGTACGTGCAAACCCAACTCAATGTGTGCAAACGCATCGGCCATTATTTTCTCAGATCTTGTTTCTGACCTCTGTGAAAGAAACTTTTCTTTTATTTCTTTCTGTTGATTTCTCTTGTTTTTAAGCCAATCAAAACCCATTTGTAGTTTTAACCTTGTGTTACAAATTTACCGACGTGTTACATGAGAAATACAACCTTTTGTAGCTGATCAGAACCGTGTAATAATTTAGTGTACCCACTGTACAATTATCAGTGTAACAAATTAGAAATTAACTATGAATTGATCACGGAAGAAAATATTTCCAGAAAGTAGAGCCAAAGAAGTAGAATTCTGTGATAAAACAGGACAATGTTGTCTTCATCGAAGGCTTGGCAAGAGGTTCAGTTTGTCACTTACCGAAGCTCATATTTTCTTCATGACTATCCAGTTTAAATGGACAAGGCTATTTTATTTCATTTGACTCTGATCAAAATCACACTCATCTTGTCGAGAAGTCAATGTTAACTCATACATCATTTCCACCACCATTTCATGACTACTTCCATAGGGACGATCTTAGAGTATAACCCACGCTCGGGTTGTTTGGAATTTTAGTCGGGTGAAATCAATTCTTCCTTTTAAGTTATTTTCTTCGCCTTTCAACCGTTCCTGCGATCCAGGACGACTCAAACAAAACTAAGGTCACCAATGACGATTAAGTGATAGATGCATCGTGTCTTACTCCTTTGTCGACTCCTGATCAGAAATTGCAATCGACACTGAAGCCCGCTGGTTACAGATGACTGTGCCACCAGAATATTCGGGTAGTGTAAGTGGACTAACTGAAACGAGCTTTCCATGCTGAAATGTTGGTCATTTCTTAAGTTCAGGTTTTATTCGAATTTCATATATGTATAAATGAAAAAATTTTCGCCGCATAGCCACTCACAGATATTTTAGCTTATCCTGCCCCGCAAACAAGTTTTCAGGTAACTTTTTGATGTTGTTGTTTCCCAGCCACCTGTAAGATGCACAATTCGTTTCTTAGCTTCAGTCTGTCAAGCCATATAATAAGTTATGTCTCTTAGGGTAAGCTTTAAAAATCTATGTACGGTATACTTTCAACAAAGACAATTCTAAACATACATTAATTAATATACGGTAATCGTGAAATTGATGATTCCTGTTTTTTGGATATATCTATTCTGTGGTTTCAGTGAAATCCCGTCCGATTCTGATAAATCTTGATGGGACATGGAGATGAAACCTTGGGTGATCTTTAAATTTCTTCTGAAAAAAGCAACTTCTTTGAGGGCGATAAACTATCGATTAGTCTTCCAACTGGTGGGAAAGTCAGTGTTTTCGGGGGGAAGGGGGGGGGGGGGAGTGGGTGTCAAGCCCCCGTCCTTAAACATTTGTTATTAGCATTTTTAAGTTTTCAGATTCAGTTTGTTAGTTGGAGTTCAATTTTATTTTCAAACAAAACGCTAAAAAATTGTTTTGGGAAATGGGAAATCAGTCCAATTCAGCGGCAGTCAACTGTCTAAAGCTTCAAGATTAATTACTTACAGATCGTATAACTTGAAACGGTGGAATATATCAGGAGGAAGAGTCTCCAGTTTGTTGAAGTCCAGGGTTCTGTGTAAAAAGATACTAACATCAGGAGAGCAGCGGATACGTTAGAATCTTAAGACGACACAACATTTTGGATTTTGAAAGACATGCTTCAACAGTTCGTCTGTCATCTAAAGTTTAATTTTTTTTTATTTTTGAATCGTTTTACTTTTGCACTTTTTCACTTTTATACTCTGAAATGATTGAACTGAGATGTCTGAAAAAACTGTCGAAACATGTATTTCAGAATCATAATTATTGTGTCTTTTCTTAAAATGCAATGTGCCTTCTGACAGCGTGGATGACCTCTAAGACTTTTTGAAATCAGTTTTGAAGCTACAGAGGACGCGACAACATGCATAATTGCGTCAATAACAAAATGCTCGAATATATGTGGCTGTTAACGGCCCTTCTAAGTGGCTTAATTAACTGTTTCAAGTCCGAACTACAAGAGGTGCATGTGTTCACGTCTCATATGAATTTGCTTTCATGACGGTCGCAAGTACAAATCTTTTGAGGGTTTACGGTTAATTTTTTTGGCCATTGGACTTTTGACCGTTAACTATAACTCGAGCTTCTGAGACCTCAGGCTCATCTGAGTGATTTTTGAGAATAACAGCGAAAAAATGACTCAATGTATATATGTTTTATTAACGTGAAGAAGCGAAAAGAAACCTCTGGAATCTCATTATTTTGCTCTCTAATAATGGTCGAAATTTGAGTTTATAATATTATGAGAACATTTGAAATTTGAATTTTACATCAATCACAGTTACATCGACAAGAATCAGATTTCTGAAAATAAGAACGAACTAAATTGATTTAAAATTAGCAGTTTTGGGTGCAACATTGTTGCCCGATGACTTATCCAACATTGGGAAGAAAAACATGGCTCGAGGAGTAAACAAACTGAAAAAAAATTCAAAGGGAAATGTTGGCAAGAACTTATTCGTTTTCTTAGACTCAGGTCGCAATTTTCATTCTTTTTTTTTTAAAAAAAATCAATTTTCACTTGCTTGACCTTGAACATGCCTCGTCAAATAAAAATATTTAATACTACCAAATAAAGGATGGTTCTTATAGTACTAAGTGTAGATTTTCTCTACAATTTAATACTCAGTGGTTTTAATTTTCAGCCCCCGTATATTGGAAAAGGTTGTGTTGCAAAATGCACAAAGGACCTTCAGTGTAAGCATTTTACTCATCTAAAGTAGAATGAAAATCCAAAACTGCTTAACTTACACAGTAATTTGGTATTATCAACTGAGTTAAAAACGTAAATTGGCCACCGTAAGGAGGTTCAACGCTGACGTTTCAAGCGTTAGCCCTTCGTCAGAGCGAATGGAATTCCATTTATCAACTCATTTGATAACACCAAATTACCCTGTTATACTCTCCCACCGACGCAGCACCTCAGTTTCTTTAGAAACTTACCCCCTTTACTTAACTTACAGGTTTTCAAATCTGGACCAATGATATGACCGTCTAGGTAGTTGATCGGAGGACAAATTCTTTAAGTTGTTGCTATTCAGGAATCTGCATCGTCAACAAGGAAAAAATACTAGTAAAACTTTTATTAATGGCTTCATTTGATTTCTTCTGGTGCTGTTGATATAGACTTAAAACAGAGTGAAAACAAGTGCAGACACCTCGTTGACTGTTTCATAAACATGAATAATTGAGCCATTATGATGAGAGATTTTCGGTATCTACGTGTAACTGAGTCGAGCACAGACTGGTTGGCTTCTTGCAATCTCCTGGCGGACGGAGTTTATATGAAATATATGAAAATCACAAAGGAAATAAGAGAGAAAAACGAAATTCCGAAGAGAAAAACTACACGTCTTTCAGTGCTCCTTTTTTTTCAATAGATCAAAACCTGCTGCGTTATATATATACTGTAGTAAATACTGCATATAATTGTATACTAATTATATACTAATATAATAATAACAATTATATGCAATACTGCATATAATTCTTACGAAAGCCTCCTCAAGAAGACATTTTTGATATTTAAAGCAATATCTGGCGCAGACAATGCCTACTGCGGATCTAAATTAAAATTTCCTTTTCTCCTAGTACTTTTTACCTCATGGTATGACGTCAGTGATACTATGAGGTTTTGGTACGGATGGAAGATTCACTCACTCGATTCTGATCTGTTTGACAATTAACTTATGCATTCACACTTAGATTAAACGTGTTATCTCATGCCTGCCCCACTAGGTTTGCTTCTGTCCCCTCAGTCGTGCTATTCTCTTCTGTTCAAATATCTGTGGAGTGGTACAATGGCCGAAATTTTTGCCATAGTACGTGGAGTAATCAACATGATTCAAAATGGCGTCTGTCGTCGGGCCATACTAAAACGATCTAACTGGTTTTTCCTTCATTTTGCCCATCTTCTCCATTCGAAGAGCAAACGTGCAGAAGACTATTAAACTAGAAAGAAAAGGGCTTTTAGGTTTTAAAATCGACGACGGCAATAGTCCCAACGATGGTTATGGAAATGTTTAGTCGCGCCGCGTACGCGATCTCAGCTCTTTACTTGATTTACGGGTCACTGTTTGGCTGCCATTTGGCTGTATTTTATTCATATTTAGCAGCTGATTTACCATGTTTGAGGTTTTACAGATTTCATCGGATTTGACCTTTCATGCATTTTTGCTACGCAGTTACCTTGTGAGCTATTTCGCTCTTGGTTCGGCCGCGTAAATCTTATTACAAAATGTCTTGCAAAATGAGCCACCAACATGTTTTAGAGCTGTTTTGTTAAACACGATCGAAAATTGTTTTCTTTGTAGAAGCTGCTTAAACCGATGTTTGTCGACTTCAAATGTAGCACATTGAAAATACAAGTTAGTGATTAATCGAATCTTTTGGAAAATTTAGTTATGATTTCAGTTCTCTGTTTGTGATTTTGATTCAGTAAAATCCGGTTTAACTAAACATATTTTGGTGGTGTGAATGGAGTATTAGTCTAAAACAAGAGATTATAAATTGCAAAAATAATTTCTCACAGTTTAAAAACAATCGACTGGTTGAACCACCTTAGTTTTTTAAAATATTGCAAAACAAAATTTTTTGCCGAGAAAATCGCGTCAGCGTTCAAAGGCCCGCTCACAAAACTCAGGTTTGAGGAATTTATTTTGCTCCGCTCATTTAGATCAATCCTTTATGAGAGTAAAGCACATAAGTTCTGCCCAAAGTATTTAAACTGCTTCCTTGGCTTGCAAACGTTAAAAACTTTTCGTACAGGTTATCAGATCACAATCGCAGTGGTAGACCAAGTCTTGTCACAAAGTTCGCGTTTTCTCCTTCCAAATTGAAAATTCTTCATTGGCACTTTATAGTTTGTACCTTCATCTTGCAAATAGCTATTTCTCGTCAGTTTTCTTTACAATTTCTGTTCAAGTTTTTGGTGCCATTGCGTTTATTCGTTGACGACGTTGAGAAATTAAATACACTCTTTGCTCCTCTCGCCGGCAGTTCATCAGTTCAGTTTCCGGCGCTATGATTGGTTTCTCGCGCTTTTTTATGGTTTTCATGAGAATCAGCGACTTGATCACAAAATGAGAATAAAATTGCCACTCTCTCTGACAAACTTTACACACGAACAGTTTTCAAACCACTTGGAGTCGCCTCGTGGTTTAAAACTTTTATCGTGTTCCCCAACATCCCGCGTGATCTACTATACCAATAAACTGTTAGAAAGTGTGGCTGTACTTAATTTGTTAATATAACAGCTGATTGTTTTGATAAGCCCGACCTCTTTTAAAATTCTTCTGACATGAAACAGAAGTTACCGCCATAAATCTTCAAAGAAACTTCGTTTAAATTCTGATATATATCACATTTTTCAGAGTGTTTCAGGTAGCCGCGCCATCAGGATTTACGCGCAGACCCATGGCAATCAGAGCTTGTAATTGATTCACAAAGTTGAATCGCGAAGCACCAGTTTGGGACCCAGTTTGTTACACACAGTCGATGAGCCTTAAAAGTTTTGATTACTCACTTTTTACCAATCTCAGCTTTCGACATCTATTTCGCGGAATGTTACACGGGTACGAACTCATTCTATCAAGAATAATTTCTCGAACCATACTAAGACGTACACCTTGCACGTGTGATGATTACTTACTCAATACATCACACTTACTCGATTGTTCATACTTATTGTCAGCAAATCCATTTGCGAAAAAATCGCATTTGAAGAAAGGCTGAAAAGCTACGGCCTCAGGTTCACATTTGTTTCATTCCAAGTTTTGATACCTCCCGCCCCTATTGGGGGTAGGAAGGAACGGGGAGGGGGTGGGAAAGGGAAAAAAAGAGAAATATTGGGAAGGAGGTTACCCGAGAATGGCGGGCAAAAAACTGTCAGACAGCTTTAAGTGATTTTAAAGAAAGTCTTAAACAGTATTTTTCCAGTTCCAATAATTTGCGTCACTTGTCGGAAAAGTCATAAAATTGCCATCGAGCTGCTGCCTCGACCGAACTGTGGTTGCGCGACGCATAATTGATTTAGGTAAACAAAGATGCGACCTCAAGGCGATAGACGGAAGAAAACATAAAGGTTCTATATAGTCCTTTCCCCTTTATGAAAAATATTCCTTTGGATTTTTATGTGAAGTATTTCATTTCTGGTGAACTCATGAGAACTTGAGGTTTATAAATGCACCGGACCGCTTTTAGAGAGACTGCGTCTTTCAAGTTGTCAAGTTTCAATGAAATGGGGATTAAGGTATTCAAATTCAACAATTACTGCGCGATTTTTAGGTAAAAAGGCCCACAGTCACGGAAAATATCCACTGAAACTATGGAAGTAGGAGTGGAGCAATTTTAAAAGGGGTGTTTTTTTGCATATCGGTCTCATCAGTAACAGTAAACATGGCTCTAAATCTTTCTAACTAGCCGAAATCTGAAATTGCCTTTCTCCGTGCTTCATAACTGGAGGATGGCGTGAGGTAAAACCCGGATAAGCAAAGGAGAAATTTAAAAAATCTTGAAACTGTGCAGTGCTGTCAAGAGCTGACGCAAACATGAGGGTCAACAAACTTGTACTTGATTTCTCAAAAATCAAGAACGTCGAGTCAGTTAAGTCATTGCGAAGCGGTACGAGATCTTTGTGGAATCAAGGTCACCAATACAGACTGAACTTTGAGTGTTTAAAAGACGAGATAGTGATTAGTTTTTGCACGCGAAGCCCTCAAACTCGTGCAATAATTTGCTGCTAAAAATGACGATTTTAACGGAATTTCGTTATTTGTATTTTTTTCTGAAATAAAAAAGGTATTTCGCCAAAAAAAATATCCGGTGATTTTAGTTATAGCGTAGCCTATCTAACATTAAAATAAGAAAGAAATCGAATTTTCCACCCTTGCCGCGATATGTTTAATTTTTACAGACAAGCGCTCTTAACGTTTTATTGTAAGCACTAACTTGGTTCTCAGTTTGGAATAAGCTTATGTAGGTCGCCTACAGAGACATTCTAAATGGTTGTCTAGGATTTTCAAATCATTCTGTCAATTCTGATCGCTTAGTTTGGCATATCTAGAAAATCTCTGGACTAAAAGAACCGTTGGTAATGTTTTTTCGTTGTTTTTCTTATGTTACTTTTTAAGAACAAATATTATAAAACATCGATTTAAATGTCGGTGTAGATTGGAAAATCTCGACCATGAGCGATATCGACTTTAACCAATCAAGTACTTCAATTTGTTTGTATATAGTCCTTTTGAGACATGGCCATATAATAAACAGTTATTTTCACAACATCATAACACAATATTTGGTAAAGGAAAACAACTTAAACAAAAGCTCTATATCACCTGTAAGAAATGTTCTACTTACAGTTCTCGAAGGTAAACATTTTCATAAAAAGCTCTTGGAGGCAGTTGTTCCAGTTGGTTATAGGACAAGTCACTATAAAAGAGAAAACAAGATGAACCCTTTATCATGAAATTTCAGGTAAACGTGACTCAGAGACAGAAATCATCATAAGTAAATGAATTTTCTGGGGCTAACTAGGCTTTGTGGTTAAGTTACAGTAAGTTTGAGTTAAAAGTTTGTCTGTGCGGCTTGTCAATTCCCTGAGGATGCAATCTGCACTGAATCTCAAACAAAGCCTTTCCTTTCCACGTAGATTATCATCTCCAGCCCTTTGAATCTTGTGATACTGATAGATAACAAAACCAGTAGAAGCTTCATCTGCTCTCTTGATAGGAATCACTTAGCTCTCCCTTTAATGTGAAATTACTTCGAAGTTAATCATAGGGGAGTGGTGCATCTTCAACACCAATAGACGAGCTTATTATTTAAGTTAAATTATAGATGATCATAAACAGAAACAGCTAACAGAGCTAAATAACAACACGATACACATGTTTTCATTTCTTTGACTGTCATATCATTACTCCCAAAGCAGCAGAAAACGATCCTTTATCGAAGGTAAGGAAAGACTGCGGCTGGGTGTGGTAGAAGGTCACAATAAAGGAATTCATCAAGCTCGCGCTCTGTCATTTCAACTCCTGTTGAAAAGCCTTTTAGACAAAAAAAGAAAGTGCTATGCACCAACATCCCGTGAACGAAACAAACGGTGCGACAAAAATTGATAGGAACAAAAGTTAGAGCCGAAACTCTGCATCTTTGACGTATTTTGTGTGTGACATTGTGAAATCAGGAAAATCTTGATTCAAAAGATATTTGGATTTTTGCGAGTATTTTCAGCCAGCCAAATGAAATAGATATTATGGCGATGGGAGAATTTGACTGATGTAAGCATATAGTCGGCCATAATACCGACACCTGTTTGCTTAATTTTGAGAAGAAATTGAATCGTGGAATTATGTTTAAGACTGAATGCAAAAACCGTGCTTCCCGTGAATCTTAAAACGCAAGAAAATGATGCTCCAAAAGCGAGGAACAGAAAGTTGTCAAATAATTAAATTTGCTCGGAGAGGATGAATTACAATCATGTTAATAAGGACAACAAGTGCAGTGCGGGAAAAGAGCCGGCAGACTATGAACGGTTACAATGGACTATGAACTGAAGCGTTATTTGTCGAAGTTCACCGCGCTAGCTGCAGAATTGCGAAAAA